GTTGTGCTTTCAGCTAGAATATCGTTTATTGAAACATTAATTGCCCTTGTGAAAATCACTTTCGAATAGTTCAACAACTTTTCAGGCGGCAGCTGGTTGTTGTTGCTGTTGCTGTTGCTGTTGCTGCTGATGTTGCTGCTGATGTTGTTGTTGACTGTTGCTTGCTGTGTCCACATTTGCATTTTCTCCCTCTCGTGTTTGCTGAGACACTTGTTTACGTTTTTTGTCATTGCTGTTGTTGCTTTTGTTGTTGTTGCTTTTGTTGTTGTTGCTTTTGTTTGGGTCGTCACCTATTGCTCAGTTTGCTTCCTTTTGCCAACTCGATAATTGAAATTTGATGTTATTTCGGTGTTTGTGTGTGTGTTGTTTGTAATTTGTGATTTTTTAACGACTTTCGAGTGAGTTAGGAAACAAATGGTCGGCCACATTTATGTAATAAACACAACAATAAAAAAGAAATACAGTTCGAAATTGAAAATAAACATATTCTACTCAATAGAATAAACATATAAAAGAGTTATTTATGAGCCATATGCAAAAAGTACTTAAGTAACACTAAAATGTTTATTTCCCAAAAAAATACCCAGAATCCATTCCGCAACGTTGGCAAATCCCACAGATTTGGCAGATTAGCATAGACATTGAGTTAGCTGGCGATTTATTAGGATAGGCCGCAGAGCTGATCGGCGTGATTGACAATGGTTTATGCACTCATTCGCTGCATCTCATTCCCATTCCAGTTCACAGCTTAATCACATGTTGTGGAGCAGTTGCAACACCTACAGTGAAGCTGACTTCAGATACACAAAACGATTGACAAGCAAAACTGTCAACGCATTTGAAACTCAGTTGACTGAGTGCCAGGCCACGCCCCGCAAATAGTTGTTTGTTATTGTTGTTGTTGTTGTCGCCGCCGGTGGCAATGGCGACCGACACTTGGCCCCCAGCCACAAGTCGCATAATGAAAATGTCAACTACTCTGCTGCCTGCCTGGCGCAAAGTCCACTTGGAGAGAGACACACAAACAGGCGAGTCAGGCGAATCGGGCAGGCGAATAAATAAGAGGTTACCTGCAGACGACCACTGACTAATATATACCCTTGCTTCAAAGACATCAATATTAATTTAAAGAGGATTTAATGGGAGTTTGTTAAATGCATATGGCAAAATATTTTTAATCACTTTTGAGTGTGCTTTTAACCCGAAGAAAAGCCATCGAATAGCGAGTAAACCAAATACATTATTAAAAGAGGAAATGCTTCATTGAACTGAGTCTGATTTCTTTATACTATTAACTCTAGTTGTAAGCCAGGCCTGGATGTAAGTTAGATAATAATGACAAATACGATTCAGTTTGGAATCGGTAAAATTTAGTTAGTTAATGAGTCGAATAAAGTTTTCTGTTCCTTCTAAACCCAACCGTTTCCAATTTAATTTTTCGCTGCAATTTTTTAAGTATTCTAGAATGATTATATTATATTATATATATTTATATAATTAAGAACTCAATTTAAACTTGTTGTCTTAACTTAATTTAGCTTAACTAATTCAAATTAATTATTTTTATTTTTTATAATAGTTTTTTTAACTGCAGGCAACAATTGTTGAACAAATTTTGTAATTAAATGCACTCAGAAATTTGTATACATATTTTCTGATTTTAGTTTAAATAAAAGTGAAATATTATATTTAAATATGTAATTAAAATAATAATTGAGTAAATAAAATGCACTTAAAAACTTTCTAACACATAACTTGAGTAAGCCTCCAAGTGTTACCAGCTGTTTGGTAAAATGCAGTGTGCCCAGAGTGAGCAGTGTACAGATAGATAAAAGAGACAAAAGTTCAGTGCGTCGCTGCTGCAACTGTAACGCAAATATCACGCGTGATTCATCGGCGACAACAGCAACAACAATAGCAACAACAGCAACAGGAACAACAACAATGGCTACAGAAAACACCCACACGCAAACACACATATGCAAATAATGTTGCTGCTGCAGCAGTTGTTATTGCTGTTGTTGATGTTGTTATTGTTGCTGTTATTGTAGCTGTTGTTGCCGTTAGACGATGCTGATTTCAGCTCGTTTTTATACTTGTTAGAGCAACGCCCGCGTCGGTTTGAGATTGGGTGAGGATGCCTATGGGACAGATCTCGACATGGACTGGTGAATGGGGTGGGGCAGGGGGAGTGGCAGCGGAGTAACTGTGGAGGGGAGGGGAGGGGAGTAAGTCTGCAAGTCTGCGCTTTTCTTATTTATTAAGCGCACAAGCTCGTAATTATGCAAAGCGACAAGAGTTTATGGGTTAACAATGGTTGTTGTTGCTGCTGCTAACTGATGAGTTGCTGCTGTTGTTGTTGCTCTTTTATTGGCTGTTGCATACACAATTTGCGAAATCCAATTGCCACAAAAATAAGGAACAAGTACAGAAGAGAACAGTTCACAAATGACAAATCGACAAATGTACTTGAACCCCGGCCAAATCGCTGTAATTGATATCGCCGAAAGTGCAAAAATCAAGCAGCGACAACAACACAGATTTTGGCATTCAATTCGATGACAATAAGTCGCAATAAGTCGCCGATTTTGTCGTTTGGTGTCTGCGATAAGCCAGATCCTCAATCTATGCCAGCTATTGGCCAACTATCGGCAAACTCAGCTCAGCATACCCTTCACAAGCGGCGTACTTCAGTCTTCTTGTGTAAGCTGCGGCACAAAATTCAATTAAAATTACGTTAGTAAATAAATTAGACTCAAAAAACGGCAATGGATTTTAGAAAATCGCAAGAGCTTTGGTGCCTTATTATTCAGAAAATGAAGAGAAAATCTCTTTTTTAGCTAGTTTTCTTAGGATAGGAAAATCACAGGTTTCTAGCAGCGTTTTGCTTTTATAAATTCCACAGTATTTTTTACAATTTATTAAAAATACGTCAAAATTCCAAAAGAAAGACTTGTATATATTTCTTAATTATAGAAATTTTTCGAATAGAAAAACCTTTCTGATATTCTGAAAATCAACTGTTATCAACTATTTTTTTATATTTCTATATCTTAAAATATTAATGTAGACATAAAAAAAACCAGCCTTGAAATTAGATAAATCTTTTGCTAATTTGACAAAAATCTACAGTGGAATTAAGAAAAGGAAACCCGTAGTTTTTGGCAGGACACATTTTATAAATATACTTTTATTAGTGTACGAGGTATCATTGGCCAAAAATTGGATTTCTTAGTTGTTCTTATTGCATTAGAAACTTAATTATTCTTATGCTATATAAAATTAATTTTTGTTGGTTTAGTTCTCAATCAAGAAGCGGAACTTTGTTTGCTCTTGTGTACAGTGTATGTCCAGTCGGCTACTCTCCACCATCGTATATATATTAGGCTAGAGTATTAACTCGTCTGTGTATCAAAAACATTTGTGGTTGTCTTTTTTAGGGTGCCGCAGTCGCGTCGCCTTTTGTTGCACACTCTGCAAGCTTCTCAACGTGACCCGCTTTCAGAGCCCAAAAAAAAAGAATAAAAAAAAGTTTTAGCAAAGGGTTAGGGCTGACAGTAGCAACAGCAGCAACAACAACAGCAGCAACCACAGCAGCAACCACAGCAACAGCAACAACAACAGCAGCAACAACAACAGCAGCAGCGACGACAATTTGGCAATAATTTGCATATCGATGCAACAATTGCTGATCGATGATCGAAGGGGTGATCTAAAAAGGGCAGGGGGAGTTGCAGGCAACTTGTTGGCATTTGCATATGCTGCTGCTGCCAAAATAATAAGCTGCGATTTGAGTTTTATTTTTGATTTTGATTTATTGGCGAATGCAAAGAAACAATTTCAATTTAATTACAATGTGGAATCGCTTGTTGATTGTTTTTGCCCCAACAATCGATGACGTCTTTATTGTTGTTGTTGTTGTTGTTGCTTGTGTTGTTTACTTTAACAAATTCGACGCATAATTCGTGGCAAGCGCAAAATGTTGAGTTCAATGTTTTTTGTTGTTTTCCAAATGTATTTTGTCTAGAAAAATCCTTGAAGTGAGTCAATAGTCTCTGCCAGAGACTCTTATTTCTCATATATCTTCCATCCTCACGCCTCATTTACAAATTGCTCAAATTCTTCCGCAAAAATAGACAAAATAAAATCACAAAAAAAAGCAAAAAAAAAAACAAAAAATAGTAAAAAGTTTTCGTTTTCTGAATTTGTCAGACGCGTCTGTCTGATTATTCCAATTGGAATAATAGGCCTATTCAATAAAGTCAACGCACTTTGCGACAATTTCAATTCTCATGAATTTTACTACAATTGCCGCTTTACGCACTTTTTTCTTTTTTCTTGTTCTTTTTTGCGGATCTTTTTTCTTCGAGTAAAAGACACCAAATCGAAGCAGTTCACATAAAAAGTTTTGCAAAATCTTATGCTAATTTATCCAAATGAGGATTTATCAGCCCAATATGAAGAATGTTATCATCTAAATTTAAGAAATGGCGCTTTAAATTTCGTTTTGATAAAAAGAAGACATTTTTTTCTTAAAATGAATTATTATCAGAAAAGAGAACCACTTTGAACTGCTTGGCATGCGCACTGTTGCACGGCTTGTTTATGCACTGCTTTTCACACTGCTTGATGGGTTTGCGGCAAGTGTTGCCAATCACTCCAACTGCATAGTTCCAGTTCAGTTCCAGAGCAAGCACACTCTGTTGCTTAACAGTAGATTAACATTCGATATTCGAGCATTAAAAGATCGATCAGTTAAAATAAATAAATTTATGATAAATTAGTGATGCAGTCCTTATATATGTATTCAAAATATCTATTTTACATTTGTTCATATGCCGCTTTAATATGCGTTTATTTGAAATTGCATGTGAACATGCTGCTGCGAGCGCACAGCGTGTTTCCAAAATTCGATATCAGCTGTGGTCAAACTCAACACACGCCCTCACTTATCACACACAGGGTGTATCATACGCTGGCCTGCCCCTCGTCAAAAAATCCACTTTCTGTTCGAACGGGCTGGCGAACGGTTTAGTTGAAAGCAGTTTCAATTTGCTGCGTCGCTGCGTGTAAATACATTCGCCAGGGGAATTTGCCGATTAGTCGCTATCGCAATGGGCAACATGGACGATGACGGCGTCACCTTTGCGCAGAGCTACGAGAGCATCGCTGCCAACAAAAATGCATCCACTCCAATTAGCAATGGACACATTCCCAACCAAAACTTTGTGCCGCGAGAAATGGCAAAGCAACAGCACGAGAAAGAGCTGAATGAGGTGGAGCAAGAGGTGCAGCAAGACAGGGTGGAGGTGGAGGAGCAGCAGCAGTTGCTGCTGAACAAACAGCTCAAGTTTTCGGCGCCAGCCTACACCGAAATTCGAACACGTTCTGGAGGCCTCCATTTCAAGGTGAGTGGAGCTAAAAAGAAATTAAAACTACAAAAACAGCAACAACAAACCGCAGGCTAGGCAAAATCAAAATGTTTTTGCTTTTGCTTCTGTTTCTGCTTCTTGTTCTGTTTCCCTCGTGCCGGCGCGTCATTGATTTTGTGTGCGTGCGTGTGTGTGTACGCGTGCGAAGAGTAAACGAATAAGCGGCCGCGTACATGAAGACAGAGCGAACAAGGAGAGAAAAGAGAGAGTGCGTGTGCATGTGTGTGTGTGTGTGTATTAAGTCAGCTGCTGCTGTTCGCAGGGGGGCGGAGGTGAATTGGAATGTGTTTGGCGCCGCTTGCATTGCCGCATTTTCTAGGTCAGCCAGCCAGCTGTTTGTACTCCTTTCCCCACATCCCCAGTAAACAGTTTTAAGTGCAACATTTGCCATTTCTATCTCTCTCTCTCTCTCTCTCTCTCTCTCTCTGTCGCTGCCTTTTGTTTGTTTTGGGCAGCTCTTTGATTTTGTTGGGGTTGCCCAGGCAACGAACGGGACTTTTGTCCTCTGGGTGCTGCTATTTGCAACCTCCTCTGACACAATTTTTTGTCGATGGCAACTGCAACCGATTTGTTTTTTGCTCACGCTACACGGGTCATGCCATTTTCTTATCAGCGGTTAGAATGGATTTTACGTAAAGCTCTCGGAGAACGAGGCCGGTAAAAACGTTAAATTGAATTCATATGATTCATTTTTATGTCTGACGATTTTTTGTGTTTTTATTTCTGTTGGCATAAGGCGTTCATAGATAAGCTTTTTCAGTTCATTTTCAGTCTAAAAGAGAGTCAATGAGAGAGGCACAGTTGCAAAGTGGCATGATATGGGCAATTTCTTAAAGTAATAATGAAGTACTTTAATAAATAACTACAAACTATCCCAAGTAAAACGAATCAATATTGATGAATAATTCTTTCGAAATTAAACACATGGTAAATGTTAAGATAGAGAGTATTCAGATAAAGTCTAGACTATTACGTGAACAATAGTGCTCAATTCAACTGGATATATTAATAAGTGTCTGCAATGGCAAATTTATACAGTACACAAAAGTAAGCAAAATAGATCTGATAATAGCGTTTAGATCAAATATTTCTAGATGATAGAACAATCAGAAATTGGGGCTTATAACTATCCAAGTTGTCTGGGAGTTTCTGGCATTAATCACTGTTTATAATTAGTCAAGAAACGTATAAAATATGTAGGGGCAATGATAATACCTGGAGAATGTGTCACCTACAATTCCTATAAATATAGATAAGGAGTCGATGTGGATGAGTTCCAAAATATGGTATTTTGCGCACTTAATGCAGTATCTTATTTGATAATAATATATTATATAGAAAACTATATAGATTCTATGTATTCACTGTGGAATTCAATTTTTGACATCTCTCCGAAAGTTATAAATATATATATCTATATGTATCAATGAAGTTGACGTTCATATTCACTCCGTTATAAGTGTTTTCCATATGTAACCGGACGGAATCATGTTTGGAGCAGTGTAAAACTGCAGTTGCGTGTAAAATGAGTTTCGTAAGCAAGTCAAATGAAAATAAACATGGCATATTATCGTCGCCATTGGCTTATTGTTATATTATTTAGCCATATAAATGTGCTCACTAATAATAACATTAATAATAATAATAATAATAATAGCAAACATAACACACTCAGATCATCAACTGGTTTAATGAGCCGCTTTCCATTGTGCGATATCAGATCGGATCATGTGTACATAACGAGTGCATAATAAATAAATAAACACGTACACGCACTGCGAAAAGTATGTGCCCAATTGGTTAATGCCTTACCTAATATACAGGCAGTCTGTACATATGCATATATCTAGATGTGTAAGAGTATTTATATGGCTTCCGTGCCAAAAGCAAATGATTCAAATATCCGACTAGTGGCGACGCAACATTTTGAATGACTTCAGTGCACAATGCTGCGAGTAAATGAGAGACGGAAAATTGAAGGCAGTTTTTGTGTTCTGGTAGTTGAATGTTAATTGGCTGATTGACGATCCAACAACAGCAACAACAATCACAGTCTGCTACAGAGACTGATAAATGTTTCTAGCAGAGGTGTAAGACCTCTTCAAATGAGCAACTGATACTGTGAAATCATATTTGTTAAATGCAGGTCATGTGTTGATTACTTAAAATTCTTTCGCCATTCACTAATGGGCTTCGCAACAATCTTACACCTTTAAGATGACCCGGGGAGGGGTGTATCATAGATATATTTGTATAAAATATAATTTAATTAGACAATTTATGCCATTTTTTCGTTCATTAAGTTAAATGCTAAAGTTAAAGTTCAGACTTTATGCCTAAAGAATATTTGTCTTGAGGCCAAGAACTACATAAATGCTAATGCATCAAGATATATTTATTTAATTAAAATGTGTTTAAGCGTAAAATCTGTTTAAAAAACAAATCAACCGAAAAAAGAAATTAGCCTGTGAAGTCACCCGGAATGTTTCCTGTGCGTCGCATAAAATAATTGAAATTTGCTGGCTTACATAATAAAGGCGGGTATTTGATGTAAGCTCTCCCCAACACATGTTGTTCATTGAGGGCTGCAAGATTAGTTTTGGGCATTGTGATAACGAGCTGTTGCTCAATTTGATAAGCGTCATTCCAGCGAGTTAATTTTACCAACACAAATTAGTTTGGCAATCAATCAAGCACAACTCCCATCTAATCTCTCTGGATCTCCCTCCCTTTGCAGAGAACCAGCGAGGGCAGCTACCACCCGGCGACCAACGAGGGGCATGCCACAAGTGAGGGCAAGCAGACGTGTGACGACGACAAGTTCAAGCCAAGTCAGGCGGAGCGCGTCCTGTCGGCGGAACGGGAGCACTACCAGAAGACATCCTTCGAGGATGTGCCCCTGCACACGGCCTGCCTCACCTATCTGGGCTTCTATCTGCTCATGATACTCGGCTACATCAACCAGCTGCTCTTCGTGCCCAAGGTGGCCACGGAGAAGGCTCGCGATGGATACGTGACCCTCTACGATGCCTTCGAGAGCTTCTACTCACGCTACGTTTATCGGCGGGTGCGCGACTGCTGGAATCGTCCCATATGCAGTGTGCCCGGCGACGAACTGGTCCTCAAGGATCGCGTCACCGACGACTATGGCTGGAGCTTCAGGTTCACTGGCACCGAGACGCGCTGCCTCAATTTGGGCTCATACAATTACCTTGGCTTTGCCGCCGCCACTGGCGCCTGTGCCGACAACTCGGAGCAGCGTGCTCGGGAGAAAGGTCTGGCCTATTGCAGCTCACGCTGTGAACTGGGCAACAGCCAGATGCACATCGATCTGGAGAAGCTGACGGCCCGCTACTGCGGCGTCGAGGATGCCATTGTCTTTGGCATGGGCTTCGCGACGAACGCTCTCAATTTACCCTCGCTGCTGGGCCCCAATTGTCTGGTTGTCAGCGATGAGAAGAATCACGCGTCCATCATTCTCGGCCTGCGTCTGTCGGGCGCCACAACCCGAGTGTTCAAGCACAACAACATGCGGGATTTAGACCGTGTGCTGCGCACTGGCGTCTGCTATGGCAATCCGAAGAACGGCGGCAAGCCTTGGAGGAAGATCATGATCCTCGTCGAGGGCATCTTCAGCATGGAGGGCTCCATTGTTCGCCTGCCCGAGATAATTGCTTTGAAGAAGAAATACAAGGCGTATGTCTATCTGGACGAGGCTCACAGCATTGGCTCCATGGGTCCCACAGGACGTGGCGTTGTCGAGTACTTTGGCATCGATCCCAAGGATGTTGATATTCTAATGGGCACCTTTACCAAAAGCTTCGGCAGCGCCGGTGGCTATATAGCGGGCTCTAAGGTAATTATTCTACAGATGATGAACAACAATCCCAAATGTTAATATTCCCTCACTTTAATTTTCCCCATTTTGGCTCTTTACAGAAACTGATTGACTTTTTGCGCACGAATAGCCACGCCCATTGCTATGCCAGCTCCATATCGCCGCCTATCGTGCAACAGATATACACATCGATGAGCATCATAATGGGCGAGGATGGCACCGACACGGGTCGCAACAAGGTACAGCAGCTGGCCAGGAATACCCGCTATTTCCGCAAGCGTTTGGCCCAGATGGGCGTCATTACCTATGGCCATGAGGATTCGCCTGTGGTGCCCATGCTCGTCTATCTCTTCTCTAAAATTGGGTAAGCTAACTGGCAGCAAATAATTAAAGTAAATTTCTTAGTTAATTCATTTGTTGATTTCTCGATTTCTCAGTGCCGTCATTCGAACTTTGACCACGCGTCATATTGCCGTTGTGGGCGCCGGTTTCCCGGCCACGCCCATCATGGAGGGTCGCATCCGTTTCTGTTTGTCGGCAGCACACACCAAGGATCAGCTGGACTATGCGCTGGACGTCATCGACGATGTGAGCGAGAACTTGGGCCTTAAGTATTCGCGCAAGCCTCGCGATCCCAATCCCATTGAGTACTAGACTCTAAACACACACAAAACCAACCACACACATTTAAAACTTTAAGTATAAAGTTGTCCTCAGCTGTTAAGAGCAGCCCAGCACAAAACTGAGCTTTGAGTCGCCAATTCCTGAAATAGAGTGGTTAATCATGATAAATTGGCCATGTTGTTGCGTTCATTTTTTGACTAATCCCCAAGGGACTCGGCCTGAACTTCAACTGAAAATGAAAACAGCGCGACTGCAACATGCTGCATAGCTTTATCATAAAAATAAAAATAATAATTATAATAATAATACTATTGATAGCTATTTTGTATTTAGCATTTAACTCTTCTTCGTAGTTGCTATATTGTAAATTGTAATCTTTCCAAAGTCTTCAGCTGACTTATACACACTATATGGTTTAATGTACAATGAAATGGAAAATGTATTATGTTCGTCAGGTTTTTCGATTATAAAATCACGTAAACTAAACTAAGCTAGGCAGATCGAACAACTTCAACATTTTTGTTCCTTGCACTTCGCTTTCCAAATAAACAAATTATAAATAAAATAAACTTGCTAATGTGAAATGTCAAACGAAATAAACTGCTAAATGCCAAACCATAAATTTTTTGTTCACATTTATAAGCGTTGTTAAAAAATCGCTTCTTAAATAATACAGTTGGCTCAGCATTTTAGTTCTATACATCGAGATGTTCTATCTGACTAAATTCCTATGTGTATTTAATTTACGATTTGGTTGCCGGGTAATCGGTTGCAGTGAAATTATTCTTTACGGCTCTGGGTTTTATTATTTGATAGCGGAAGATGGTAAAGTTGCATACACATAATTAACAAAGTTATCTTTTAACGCGATTTGTTCCAGGCTTGAAAGATCTGCTAACGTCCATCTTGATAATAGTTGTGGGCGCTTCCTTGGTTATATCAGTTTTCATGTTGCTGGGCACGCTGCAAGGACGCGTAAGTTGTTTAAGTGCCTCTAACTCTTATTTATGACTTATTAAATATATATGTACAAATGTATAGGAATCATCGGGCATTATGAGCTCCTATCTGATTTGGGGCATTTTCAGCACAATATTCTATGTCATGTTCTATGTGTTGGATGTTAGTACTTGGCCCGTGCTGACACCATTAAAAATACTTATCTTTTTTTTCGTTGCGGTGGTATTCACTACTTACAAGTGTTATGCACTGCTTGTGGTATATTCACTGCTGCATTGGATTCTCAATGTCGATAGTGACGATTCGCATTGATAGCACTGTACATTTTTATATTATAATGAATAATTTTTTGAGCTAGTTTTCAATAAAAGTCCCCGTTGGGAATTATTTAGAAATGAATAGAAGTAAACAAAGCAGTTGCCAAAGCAGTGGAAAACAAGCAGAGTGACCAGACTGTGCCCAGTTGAAATTAATCAGATGTGTCAAGCAGTTCCTAGTGTGGTCACATTTCCATACTCTGTAACCATAGAACTATTTTGAGGGTATACAGTTGCAAATGTTTTTATTTGTTTTCAAAATTCGTAAGTAAAATTCAAATTAAGCAAACAAAGTGGCCTTAGAATAAAATTTCACGGCCTAAATATGTTTTATCTGCGCAATTTTTTATTTATTTTTACTTTGCGCTTTGGCTGCCAGTTGACTGCATGTGCTGAGATTGCCTTTTATGGATATGAAATCTCTTATCTGGTTGTAACACATGGTAACAGAAAAATTGTTGAGTTAGTCAAGATTATTCAAATACATTTGGCGTCGTTCCAGGTTTCACTAAGCTCCTGGAATCGATGATAATAATCACACTGGGCACCTCCTGCCTGCTAAGTATTCTGATGTTGTTCTCCACGTTGCATGACCATGTGAGTTGCCATCAAATAATCGACACTGATTCGAGACTTCTTCCATTAAATCATATGTGATAAACTTTTCAATTCTAGGAATCATCGGCCATTATTTTGACTTATCTAACGTGGAGCATATTCACAACCTCTTTTTTGGGTATCTTTTTCCTGTTATCCTGGGCACGGGCGGTAATTGTATCTATATCAGTATTCTTTGGTCTATGTGTGTGCTCAACAAGTGAGTAGCGATGAAATTAATATTTTACCACGATGCTTATTGCAGAAGTTGTCAAGTGTTATTCCATGCTGGTGGTATTGTCATTCTTGCACTCGATCGTTACCTCCGACAGTGATGATTCGACTTAAGAACAAACTGAAATTCTTCTGTATGTTATTGGATAACAATTACGAATGGAAATTGTACAAATGGTTTAAGGATTAACGTGCAAAAGTGTTTTCAAAAAGCAGTAGAACGTCTTTCAAGCAGTTCAAAACAACTGCAAAATGGACAAGCAGTGCAAATGTAAAAGCCCGTTTATTTTGAATAAATGTAAAGCTGATTTTGTAAATTATTTAAACACATTGTGACTTAGAATACATCAAAATTCTATGAATAATTGTATATTTTTTTAGATGTACATAAAACATGTACGTGAACAATGTGCAAAATAGAAAATATTAAATATCTTGCTTTTATTATTCCCTTTTTTTATTATAGTTTATTTAATCATAGTTGTTGTTATCATTGTTTTATTATTTGGCTTAGACATGCATTTTTTGCATCGCCACAAACTGAATTTGGCATTTGGATATATTCGACATTTTATTGCAATCGACTGAATTTGGGGGAGGTAGGAGGAGTCTTAACAATTTTCTAATTAACAGTAACTTTGAAACGCCTGGCACTTGACCATAATATCAGATAAATTCCGATTGTAATTGTCATAGATTTTAAGATTCCAAATGGGGCGAAAATGTTGCGATGGAATTACTTTCAATTTTATTGCACATTCAATATTTATGGAGTCGTTGCATGTGTGCAAAATCTGCAATTCAGATACGGGCAAAACACTTGCCGAAATATCAATGACATTCACTGTTGAACACTGCAGGGAAAGTGCAGGGTGTGAGGGGATGTGATGAAGATACAGTCCGGAAATGTTCGTTAAAATGTTCTGCTTAAAAAAATCGATTATAAGGCATTCTCTTTTGCATGTATGTGCGGATTGGCTATTTTCAAAATGGAAATTCTACCTACTGCTTATACATGTGTGTGTGTGCGTGTTTGTGTAAGTGAGTGTGCATGCAATATGGGCTGATGGGCGTGGCCATGCTGCTGCATCCTTTTCTGGTGTGAGTAATTGACTACGTGTGTATAAACTTTGTGTTGGCATTTTACCGAACACTGAGTGCCCAGCGAGTGCAACTGGCCTTGAGTGCATGCGTGAGTGTTAGTGTGTGTTTGTGTGTGTTTGTGTGTGTGTGCTATCATAAATATGCACTATGTTGGTCATTTGTCACGGCTTTTTGTTGAGCCGGAAGTAGTTTGGGCCTAGCCACAACAAAACTGCTGCAATTCGTGATCACGCAGAAGTGCTGTTTAACGAAGATTGATAAAGGACCAAGAGCCAGGAGCCAGAAGCCAGTATAAGTTACACGAAAAGTCGCTAAAGCTCAAATTGCTCAAATAGATGTAAGATTATTCAGTAGAATAAAAAAATTTCTTATTGTTTGAATGAGACTTGAATGAGAACAATGCAATTGCAAAATACATTTAGTACCGTCTGTCTTGAAAAAATCATTCGAGAATTACTTGAAATCAAATATACATTTATTAATTATTGCTTATTAGTTAACACACCAATAAATAATAATTTATATAAAAGTAAAGTCAATTATATTGATATAATATAGACGTCAAACATTGACGATTAGAATTTAAAATTTGATCCATACGTTTTACACGTTTTACTTTAAATTATATACGTTTAATTACATATTTATTTATTTATTTTGATTTAATTGAATTTTCATATTGTTATCATTATTGAAAATGTCAGATGTCACAAACCGTTTAATTTAATAAAGACTCAGATAGTTGTTGTAATCATAACAAATACAAACAAACAAAATGCTCTGCAATTTCTGAGTTCCTCAGATAACCTAATGAAATATGCTGTTTAAAAAAATATGTGTGTTATTAGCATTTACTCAAAATAGGGAATAGGGAATAGGGAAGTAGGATTTAAAAGTCCAATGCTTTCAAATAAGAAATAAGCAGCAAATGGAAGGCTAAACCAGGTCCGCTTTGCGTTCCCATTGGAAACTTGCCTTCAAGTTGTTTGACTTCTTTTGATACTCGATTGCTGCGGCAGCTTTTGGCTTTTTCTGCTGATTCTGCAGTGGTTGTTCTTGTTGTTGTTGTTGTTGTTATTTTTGTTATTTTGGGTGCAACGTTGCGCGAAAAGCTCAGCAAATACAAATTTAATGTTTCCGTTTACTTGCGAGAAAATATGTATGCATGAGTTTTCTGCTAGTTTTGCAACTTTTGCTTCTTGCTGCCACACACATTCGAAGTATTGGGTACAGAAAAACCTGCCACGGATTTCGTTTATGGCAGCTGGCGAAGAAAAAAAGGGATAAAAAAAAATGGTAACCAGAGGAAGTTGCATTTTGTGTTTCATAATCTGATAAAATGTTGCAAAGTTTTTTTTTCTCCTCTTCCGTTACCTTAACAATATTAAATACTAGCAAGGCACAGAGAAAGAGAGATTGTGGGAGAGAGTAAATCCGATTTGTAAACATTTGAAGCATGCAAAAGCGCGTCAGCTTGTGGATTATGTGCATATTTTTGGCAGTCAGTGTGGCCAGCTAGTTTGGATAATGTTGCAACAGCCAGCAGCAATAACAGCAACAAAAACACAGACAGAAACTAATTAAATACATCAGTGTCGGGTGTGGGGAGCTAAAATAATTGCATGCATATTTTAGATATATTTGAGAGAGAAGATAGCTTTGACTACGCCCAGGAAACAATAATCATAAATGTTAACAAGACTCCCACAAAACTTAATGATGCCAAACAAAAGACCCAGTAGCATTGACAGGACATTAGGGCGTATTAGCCTGTGTGTGTTTGTGTGTGTGTCCTTAGGTGTGACAGGTGTTAAGTCGTCGCTTGTCGTATGTCCCTTTTGCGGAGCCAATTCACTCTGTGCTTGTCTGTGACTGTCGCATTAATTAGAAAACTGTGGTTGCCCTTTCTCAATGAAATATTTGCCAGCAAATTTAATTTGCGGTTATTTTGTCAGGCCTGAGAAGTCTCATCAAAACCTCACTTTTAAATGTACATACTGAAAATGAAATCACGACACGCCTTGATTAAATTCGCCTTGGCTCAGAGACGACGACGCATCGACTTTGATGGATTGACGAAAGTGTAAGGCACACACACACACACATACACCTTATACACCTTATATGCACAACGCATATCACACACACTCATCATACACAACAAAAGTCAAACACATGGACAACCTTTGGACACATTTTGCTAGCAAGCCAAAGAACTGGCGCCAACTCGACGAATGACTGATTGTCCTTTGGAGCTGGATGCCAAAGCCCAACTTTCAGCCGGATAACCATCCATAAATGCAAGCTAGCACCCAGACAGAGAGCGAGCAAGGGAGAGAAAGATGGAGAGAGAGAGATGGAGAGAGAGAAAGATGGAGAGAGAGAGAGATGGAGAGAGAGAGTGGAAGAT